GTCGTCGTCGTCGTCGTAGTCGTATAGCGCCGTTCTGGCAGGCTTCAGCAGCGCCAGCGAGGACGATGCCCTGCTTGACTCCGAGCCTGTCGAGGACTGCCTCAAACGCCCCGTGAGTAGAGTTTTTATTCCTCCTGTCAGCTCTTAGCGGTCCTAGTGGAAGTACGTAGTGAGGTGCCGAAGGTCTGCAACGAAAGGCCAGAAGTGTTGAGGAGGTGGCACCCATGTTCCTCAGCCTGCGGACCCAAATCCGGCCCGGTGCTTAGAAGCCTGGGCTTCGGAGCAGCGGATTCTGCGAGAACTCGCGAGCTGCTTGCCATAGCATGGCCTCTGCGTAGCCAAAGTCGGCAGCCATTCGGCTCGCCTTTCCCTGCCCCCTCCACCCAAAGCTTCGGTGGAGGACTCGAGCCACGATGTGGTCCGCAAGCTTGATCTGCAGCATCGCACTCGCGTTTCCCGTGCTGGCGGCCGCCGTGTGCCAAGATGGGTCATGCGCAGGTCGCGAGATGGACGAAGCCTTCATGATACAGAAGAGGGCCAAGGCAGGCGAATTTGGTACAGGGAAAGCTGGAACTCGCAAGCTTGCGATGACTTTTGAAGGTGGTGGTTTCAAGGCACACTCCGCCTTCACAGGTGCGATGAGCGGATTGTTGGGTGCTTCCGGACTCGGCTTGGAGAAGTTGCTCCACGCAGTGGAAGTGTTGGTGTCCATAAGTGGAGGAACGTGGTTCGCAGCGCAGCTGATCTACTCTCCTGCATTTCTTTCCCTTGTTGAAGAGATGGGCAAGAAGCCCGACGATGCCGCAAAGCTCTTTTGGAAGTCGTGGGTGGTGCCCTTCTTGGAGTCTATGGTCACGGTGAAGAGCACAGGTCCTTCGACCCCGTGGGATCCCCCGAAGAGAACGGAGGTTCCCCAGACGGTGTTGAAGAACGACCGTTTCCACGAGTTGCCTGGAAGAGAGGGCAAACCCGGGATCTGGATAGATTTCGTTGAGATTCTCTTCGAGGTCATCTATGCCTTCATCCATGAGCATGGGAATTGGGAGGACTTTGTTGGAAAGATCTTGAACACCATGAAGGACGTGTCTAGGCAAGATACATTGGGCGGCAAAACTAACCCCTGGGCCAGCAACAAGACTTGGCTGGTGTCCGTGTCTGTGGCTAGTGCCGGAAACGGCACCGGTCCAGGGTCTTGCGCAAGCTCGGGTTTCCGACCATTGTGTATAGCCAAAACTTATCGTGGGGGTCCGTCTGTAGGAGTGTACCGGAATGGCACGTTCGGCGTGACCTACTCCTGTCCCAGTACTCGCAGTCGGGCTATGTCCTCCTGGGCACCCGCCGCCTTCAGCGTGAAGTTGGGCGTGCCAGAACTACCCAGTGCCACTTTCTGCCACGACTGCCACGACCTGGAGATCCAGTATACCGGAGTGACACGAACGAAAGGAGACCCGTCGGCAACGTCCCGCAAGGGCGACCTCTACGCCTTCGGTACGGGCACTCCGGTGATCCAGGCGGTGGCAGCCTCCTCAGCCTTCTTAGGCCCCCTTTCAGCCATCCCCTTGAACAAACAAGGCTTCGCTGAAAATATCGCCAGGGCGGTAAAAGGCTTCTTGGAAGGCTTCCAGGGCATCCCAGATTGGTTTGCAGACTTCCTCTCCGAGGGCTTCCAAAACGCCTTGAACATCAACTGGATCGTCTGGGCTCAGAAGGCTGACAGTGACTGGGTAGGCCTTTGGGACAATTTTATGTTTCCCCCTTATTGGGCTTAAGAGGATCTCATTTACGGTGTTCTTCAGAGGCTTTAAAAGGGGGTTTCCGAACATAGGGGACCCTAAGATAGTACCCTAAACAATAGGATCCTTATTATAAGGAACCCCAAAATAAGGTACCCTTATTTTCGGAAACTTCCTTTAAAAGGCCAGCCTAGGTGACGAGGCTTCCTTCCAGGATGCCGTGAAGGTCCTGAAGTTCCTGGACAAATCTGGCGGTGATGTCGGCCAGACGGAGCTGGACTTGCTGGCAGAGAAGAGCTTCTAGCTAGGCCTTTGGGACATTTTATACGTTTCCTTACTTTGCTCCTAAACCCTAAACCCTGAGACCCAAACCCTAAACCCCTAAACCCTAAACCCTATAAACCCTAGGAAGTATATTCAGAGGCCTTCAAGTGCCAACGCCAACCGAGGCTTCTTTGGAATCGCTGATGGGGGTGTGGGGGACAACTCCGGCATCGGGCACTCCCTCGCTGCTGGTGCAGATGAGATCATCGTCTTCGCAGACATGCCAACGAGTGTCTCGCAAACCGGGAGACAGAAGGGGTCCCGGCAGATCTTCGATGTGCCTTTGGTTGACCTGTGCCCTCTTTGCTATGCAAACTTCCAACTCTTCGAGGAGTCGAGGGAGGAGATCGATGCGCAGTGGGAGGAGCAACAGACCCTCTTCTACCTCCCACCGGAGACCACAACCCTCAACTCCCTGAGCATCGGAACCTTGCAGCTAACCACGGCTCAGAATGATTACTTCGGCACGTCAGGAGGTCGCTCCGTTAAGGTGCATGTCATCAGCGTCCTGTCGGGCCTGGGGATTGGCGGCAAGGCCTACGAGGACTACGCCACTTTGGTGAAGGACATCATTGGAGCTTTTGCCCGCGCCGACAACCAGGACAAAGTTCAAGAGATCCTGAGATGGCTCCAGTAGAAGTGAAGCTTGGGTTTGGATCTCGAGAGCTCGAGTGCCTCCCACCCCACTTCTGTTTTAAGACTTTGAATCGAAGCATGGATCCGCACCATGCACGAACGCAAAGAGACCGCCCTCCCACCACCCCTCCGTTTCAAGAATTTTCATCTGGATCTTCAAAGCCAGGATCCGTACCGTGCACGAACACGACGAACACAAAGATTCCACCGTGTAGGTGAGCCATCCAGGTTGTCATCATGCTTCGCGAGTGTGGCTGAATCCTCACTCCTCCTATTGTCAAAGGTGCCGCCAGCGAGTGCAGCAGAATCTTGCGTCCATATGAATATGAATCTGGCGAATTCTCGTGTGATGAACCACGAATCTACGCTCGACTGCATCAGTGGAATCTTCAAGTTAAGTTTGAATCGCGGCGGCCTTGTGCGCCCGTATGCCTCCTTTCAATTCAATTCAGGCAGAGCTCCAGGAAAAGAAGCTGTGGAGGGACAAATCTGCACAAGTATAACATTAATCTGCTCCTTTATGTCATAAGGAGCACTTCATAATGAGCCTGTAAACCTAGACCTTTGACCTAGCTACTGAGCGTTCAGCCTGTTGAGGGTGGACGATGACTCTCCAATGGCGAGCTTCGACGACATTCCTGCCTTCGGAGTGGGGCCCTTGGCTCCACCAGGACAAGAGAAATTAGAGGTCGTCAGAGGCAGTGCTGCTTGGTTCTTGATGCATGCTGCTCTAACTGGTGTTCTGCATTCCATGTCATTCTTTGCCTAAGTTAGCAATTCATTACGTCATTCATGGTCATTTCCTGCATCTTATTGTCCTTCTGCTGCTTTGTAGCATGCTTATCATGTTACGCATAGTACATATGTTAATGCGTGCCGCGGTTAAGATTTCGGAGCTCGGCTAGTACTGTGTCAACACGATTTCGACTGCATGGCGACTCTCAATGTATTCATATAGTCTAGTTTCTGCCATGGTTGATGAGTGTATGTTGTGATTTTTGTCGGCATTAGTGACTTGTCTTATGCCTCTTTTCTTCTGCTGCTTGAGGTGTTGATTCATTTCCCGGTGGCCAACTAAAATCCTAAAGACGAAATTTCCTGCAACGCGACACAAGGAGTTTACGTATAAGCAACATCGATCTACAGCCCAAAGGTTCGAAACGAACCCAAACCCTAAAAACCCCAACGACCAGAAGCATGGAGCTGCACCGAGCACCTCTTCTGGTTGAAACAACGGCAAAGTCCCAGAGGGCAGCACCCTCACCCCAAAGCTTCCATCCGAGCCCACCCATGCGCTAAACAACAGTTTCGCGAAATCTCACATTGATCTGGTGTCATGCTTGCGTGTTCTGAAAAGACTGTTCCACTACTCACTCGTTCTCTTTGCGGTAGCCGTAGCCCCCAACCAGAGCTGGCAAGGGCCGCAAGCACGTTCGACTTCGATGCGAGCACGCGTGCATCTAAAACAGGGCCCGGGCACAAGACATTCATCACAGGGCGTGGATCCTGTGCTGGAGCCAAACCATCATCTAAATTCAGAACACGATGTGTGAGGAAGGCCGCGACATTGAGGCTTCACAATCTCATCAGGACTTGTCGCACGATGCTGATCATAGATGGCGGCGCTGCACACGAAGAGGGACCTGAGTATTGCATTGTCTTTTCATGTCGTTTGGGTTGTTTACATGCCGAGTCCTTGAAGCTTGTCCATAGTGCGGACAAGATGAGCTTTGAAGAGCCTCATGCCTGTTCTTGAGCTAAAAGGCAATCGAGAGTTGGCGAACATGCACGATGCCGGACACTTCACGGATGCTTGTTAAGTCTCAAAACCCCATAGTAAGCAAACTTTAGCTTCGAAACGAGAGCCTTAAACCCTACAAAAACCAGAAAATCATAAACCGTCAGCCACCACACCTCCAAACTCTAAACCTCCGCAACCCCGAACCCCAAACCCTGAACCCTTAAACACTAAACTCTAAACCCTAAACCAAAGGTAACGACCCAGTCTGGTGACTTCTCGCGGTGAGAAAAGGTCCGGTTAAAACAAACCTAAACTAAACCCTGAAGCCCGTACCCTCAAATCCCTACCACGTAGTTGTAAAATCCCTCCGAAGGCTTTCGAGTTCCTAGCCTAGGGGTTTAGGGTTTTAGGGGTTTAGGGGATGATGTGGGTTTAGGGTTTAGGGGTTTAGGGGTTCAGGGGCTTCGGGTTTAGGGTTTAGGGGATGATGTGGGTTTAGGGAGTTCAGGGTTTAGGCATTTAGGGGTTTTTTGAAATTAGGATCGCCTTTTAGGCTCTCAAATAAATAGTTCGGCACACTTAAAAAAAGGATAAGCAAAGGGCCCCTAATGTAGAGAGCCACCCAGGTAATGAGGAATCCAGGCAACTAACAGAAGGTGCTATATTCCACGGTCTAAATTGCTCTATACGCCCTTCGCCGTCGACCCTCCACCCCTAAACCCTAAACCCTGTAAGCCGTGAGCCCCGAAACCCTTAACCCTCAAACCCTAAACCCTAAACCCAGTAGACCCCAAAACCGAGTCCGCGAGGCATCCTTCGGTGACGGAAGCTTCCTGAAGAAGCGAACGAATTTCGACATCCCCGAGGAACATGGGGTTTCGGTTTTAGGGTTTAGGATGGTTTAGGGGTTTTCGGGTGGGGTTTAGGGGCTTAGGTTTTAGGGTTTAGGGGTTTAGGGTTTAAGGTTTAGGGGTTTTAGGGGTTTAGGTTTTAGGGTTTAGGGGTTTAGGGTCTAAGGTTCAGGGGCTTTAGGGGTTTAGGGAGTTTAGGGTTTAGGGAGCTTAGGGTTCCGGGTTTTAGGTTTGGGGGGTTTTCGAAGCCTCAGGGTTTGGGGTTAAGACAGTAGGATTCCATGGTTTGGGTTTGCAGGGTTTAGTGGTTTGGGTATCGAAGTCCAGTGTCGGGGTTATTGTATGGTTGGTGGTTTGGCGTAAAGCAGGGATGTGGGGTTTAGGTATAAGAGGTGTAGGGTTTAGGGGGCTTTAATTCGGGAGGTTGTGGCACACGGGCGGTAACGGCGAGGGGGAGGGAACCTTTGTAGTGTTCAGGATATATGGTTTGAGATTCGGGTTGAGGCCTCGATGAGGGCCCTTGACGATCTGAAGTTCGAAAACATGCTGCGCCTCATGAGTAATTAAGCCCGCTCCTTAAAGCCAAAAACATTTCGCGACACAGGCTCACACTTTCTCTCTTTCTTCGTGCTGAGGCATTGAGGCCTTCTGATTCGGACTCATCCAAAGCCAGTTTGTAAATCCTGACATCATAGTACCCTAAACCCTAAACCCTAAACCCTAAACCTGTAGCTCGTAGCTTGTTAATCCTGACATCAAAGTGCTACTAGACTGCTCTGAGCATGATGGAGTGAGTCGACTACCGTCGTCGCAACTACTACATGATGGAAATCCGGTGTACTGTCTCTTTCTGTGTGTCTCTCTCTCTCTCTCTTGCCATGATCCTCAGCGCATCGAGTACACGAAAAGCAAACTTCTGTCTAGGGCTCACGGAAGGTCGTCTTACGCCCAGCCGTCGCCCATGACTTCGAACAGCTTCCATTCGTCGGATAGTTTACAGCTGGCGCAGAAAAATACAGAAAACAACTGCCCTTTACACTGGTGGAAGCCTTAAAAGGTTCGCGAAAGAGCCCTAAACATCATGCTCTAAACGGCAAGAGCCGCCACGTGCCAGTCAAGGAGCCAAATGCTGATTGGCCTTTGCCAGAAAGGTTGACTCCGGCGGGATCGGAGGTGTCTGGGAAAAGAAAGAGTTTCGGGTTTAGGGTTCAACGTTTTTCGGTCATGACGGTGTGTTTCCACTCCATTGCTATTGCTTTTGTGCGCTGACGTACAATACAGTCTAGCTGCGAAGCATTGATCCGAATCGTCAATCTACTATATTGTGCTATACTATACGAAGTATACTGTACCATGCGATAAGAATGTGCTTGTGTCTCTACAGGAAGCCAAGTAAATCGGAGGTGGTGATATGTCTGGGTCCAGGACTTTGGGGATGCCTCCCAACCCGCAAGGCCTGCATACTATACTAATTATACTGTACTGTAATATACTATGCTATGCTATACTATAGTAATACTAGAGTATACGGTATAGTATAGTATACCATAGAATGCTGTAATCTTCTCTAATCTACTGTAGACAGACCCAGGGGGTATCCTACTCGCCCCAAGGATTCATCTTAGTAGAGGGGCCTTAATAGCACAAGCTCAATCCTGAACTCCTCAGTCTCCGGATCTTCATACTAGACTGTACTATACGGGACTATACTGTACTATACTGTAGTATACTATACTATACTATAGTATACTATAGTATACTAGAGTATACTAGAGTATACTAGCGTATACTATAGTATACTATAGTATGCTCGAATCTTCACTAACCCACTATGGTCAGGTCAGTTTCAAGCCGATGAAAGAGTTCGGCACCGAAACCCTGGTCTTCACAGAGGAAGGCGACGACGATGGAGGCGCTTTTGTGCGTGTTGGGGCTGCCGGCTACTGGTTTTTTTATACCATAGTACAGTATGGTATAGTATAGTACAGCATATTATAGTACAGTGTATCATAGCAGAGTATATAGCATATAATATATAGCATGTAGTATATAGTATATAGCACAACGTATAGAGTATCTAATATATGGTATACGGTATATAGTATATAGTATATAGTATATAGTATATAGTATATAGTATATAGTAAAGTATAGTACAGTATAGTAGAGTATATTATGGCATAGTATGCTTCAAGACACAATTCAGTGGCTTCAGGGCTGTTGCTACTCGTACCTGGTCGGGTGCAAAGTTCTCCACTCATGGCGGGCTTTCCTGGCCAATCTCTCTAAGGGCTCTAGGAGGGACCCTTGATAGGGACCCTTTTAGGGTATTGGAGTTAATATGGAGACTACCTGGCTATATAAGGGGCATATACGGACTAGACAATGGTTATTTAAGGTAATGAGATTAGGGGTCCCTGTTAAAGTCCTTAGAATCTCGCTTCTCGCTGCAACACAGCAGCCGAAGACTCAGCGTTACCATGGAATTGCGAGTGCGGGAACAGCCCCTGCAGCAGAGTATCTTGCCGCATGAACCTGAGCCATCCTGCTTGCGCATTCTTCTGTAATGCTAGATAACTGTACCAATGAATGTTTTTGTGCCTTTTCGCAGATGGTTGGTGGAAGATTTCATTTGATCCCGAAGGCTCTGCGCCGGACTTCATTGACCTTGACATGGATTTGCTCGACCTGCATGAAGAGGTGCTGAATCCTTGTCGACTTACAGCAGATTCTGGAGTTCAAAGCCTACAAAGCCGTACGACTGCGTCTTGGTCAGCTGCCCCTCAAACCCGAGCGCTGAAGTCCGATACTGAAACCCCAGCAAAAAGCCAGGTGCTCCCTGAACCCCCAGCTGCTAATCATCCCAAAGCTTCTGGCCTTTCTTTCGCCCTTACTCCCCAAACCCTAAACCCTAAAATCCGGAAAGCTCCATACAAACTACTTACGGTTTCACGGACCTACACCGTGTTTCTCTCAGGGCGAGGAGGAGCACCCACCTCCGCTGTCACCTCTAGCAGGAGGCATCACGGGCTGCAAGCCTTCAAGAGGAATGACGGCTTTGGTGCTTCAGGGTTTGCAGTTTTCAGGATATCCGCGGGTTAGCATACTATATACGATAGAATACCCCAGTATAGTATACTCTAGTATAGTATAGTATAGTATAATATAGTATAATAGGGTTTTGAAGATTTCAGTGGGAGGGTCTCAGGCTTGAGGCTTCAAGGTCCGCGGGCTTTCATGACGGGGTGGAGTGAGTAGCCAGTTTCTTGTGGTGTCCTTGTGTTTTGGCGGCCCTTACTTCTCGGGTCTTATACGACTTGGCCCACCCTGGCAAGAAATGCCATATACATACATATATATATATATGTAATGTATATGTAAGATTGTTATGTATATTTACACACATACTACGAGAAGTGTCCCCTCGGTCCTTCGTCATAGTCGGGCTCGGTGCTTGCTATACCCCAGTCCCACTCGAGCTGTCGATACATTGCTGGAATTCCCAAGGCCCCCGAGCCAAGTTAGAGTATATGACAGTACATCATCGTATATTGTAGCATCTCACTGTATATAACTAGTCTTCACTATGTTATAGTATGTCATAGTATATCATTACATGTGGTAGTATATGGCAGTATATATGTCAGTACCAGTACATATAGTACATATGAGAGTCTATACGATTGTATATGGTGGTATGTTACAGTGTATTATGGAATATTATGGTGCCTCAGAGTATGTTGCACTGTAGTATAGCATATCATAGAGTGTATTATGCCTCAGCGGCTGACTTTGCACATGCACTGAAGGCTTAGAGGGAGACGACGCTTCAGCTCTTAAACTTGCATACAGTGCTCTCTAGCACTTAAACCTGTATCACCGCAAAAACCCTAACCTCTAAACCCTAAACCTGTATCACCCCCAAAACCCTGAGCCCCAAACCCTGAACCCCTACTACCAAAGCCTGTCTTGCAGGGACTCCCACCCTGTCGATCCACAGCCGGGACCTTGAGCGCTCACTTTGGGGCAAAGGTTCGTAGGCCCTTTCGGTGTGCTTTCATGGAGAAGGAGTATGATGGGTTATGTTTTCTTATGATAAGTGATAGTGCAGTATGAAGTCAGATAATACAGAAGAATGTACCATATCTGCTATCAAGGCCCTTCTGCCAGTTGGCATTCACATGTGCTGCTGGGAGCCTTGTAGGCAACTTCCGGATCGTCTTCACTCCCACCCGCAGTGGTAGGGGCTTCTACCAGTAGCTCTTCAAGAGCATCTCCTAAACCCGAAACCCGGAGGCTCGGTATGCAAATCTAGACCTCGGGTTTCGGATCTGGCTTCCCCCCTCAGGGGTGCCAGGTGCCATTTCGAGTTTGGGTGTGTGGAGCTTTTTGGATTCAGGATTTCTGTTGTTTGGCTTCCTTGCTTCCCACGCTATGAAGGGAAGTCGCCGGATGTATAGCGTGGAAGTGCAAGGTTGTTTAAGAAGAAGTTGGTTGTTCTAGGCATGCGCTGCATGGATTGGCGATTTGCTTGCCTTATGGCCTAGGTAAGCAAGACTTTGGAGTTTGATGTGGTGCATAGGGTGTTATGGGGTATGGGCGGGTTCGGGCAGGGCATGCCCATGCAAAGGAAAGCTTACAATGACAATGCTAAACACGTCTGGATGCTAAACCTCTTAGTCTTAGTGGCTCAACGGGGCTCTGAGCTCCAAAAGCATTCTTCTTTGATCGTTTCGGCTTCGAGGTTCCAGTGCGAGGTTTGTCCCTATGGGGGAGATGGCCAGTGGTACCGTGGTGCTGGAGGCGGTGGCCGCTGACGCAGGGCCGAGGTCTTGGTGTTGTTGTCCGCATTACCTGACTTGCCTTTGTGAGCTCCACTATGTGCTGCCAGTCTTATGTATTGTGCCACAAGTGGAATGGCTATTGCTATCATGGCCAGGATATTCACCGTTATCTGTTGGTCGTGATTCAATTATGATGCTGTTGCTGCTGCTGATGATGACGATGGTGGTGGTGATGACGATGGCCAGAGCAGCAATGTCGTTATCCTCAGCACCAAGGTGGCAATATGAGTGGTGTCGTCACCCTTATGGTCCCTATTGTAACTATAGTACAATATCCCTCGACTATTATCTGAGTAATTATAAGTTATAAAGGCCCCCATATCAGATAAGGTTCTGGGTCTGGCTGCCAACTCTTGGTCATGGCCTCCCTGCCTGGGTTCTATCTTCGACTTCCTTGGACTGTAGCTTCTGCATGTGAAAGGTACTCCTCTGGCAGCAGGGGAGCGCATGATCTGGCATTCCTTTCCAGCCCCGAGACCCTCTCTGGAATGGTGTCGAGATCATCGCCACTACCCGACCCATTCTGGTCCATTCCTTCTAGAAGGGGTTGACGACTTCGGAGATCCCAGGACTTTTTGGAGCTGCAAGGGCTACGCACAGTGAATCCCGAAACTGATGCCCACAGGTCAAGAAGCCCAAGCCTCAAACTCCAAACCCAGCCCTGCTAAGTTAAACCCTTCAAACGAAGAAACCCGAAATGCAGGGTGAGGATGGACCCTCTGGGGACGAGAAGGACGCGATCGGCCTGGACGATCTCGGAAGCGAAGCAGAAAAGGCCTCTTGCCCATGCACGCTGAGGGATTGAGGGTTTGGGGCTTAAGGTGTCATATTGTTGTTGAACGGGTGTAAGTCTTGATTTGGCGCTTGGGTGTTCTCTTGGAGCTTGGAGTTGAGGCACCCTTAACTCCGATTCTTCTAGTAGGTTTGCATTATCATTACGATGCTTTAGTGAACGTTGCCTAAACCTTAGTCAAGAAGTTTGTTTGAGTCGCCAAGCCGAACATTGCACCCATGAATAATAGCAGTCTTGCTTCGAGGTAAGCGGACCTCGTAGACAGGTTTGCTTCGTATATACTTGCAGACGTATGTTATCGTACACGACAGACCCCCAAAGCTTGTTCAAATGTTAAGCCCACACACAGTCCTTACTTGGCGCCCCAAGTTTCAGCTGTTGCTAGCTGGCTCCGCACTGTCCTGTGTACAGCAAGTCGTGTTGCGCAAGTAGCTCTTAATTCACCGCCCAAGTTTCTATGCATGTTCGTACCCCTGGTCTGGTTACAACTACATTCCCATTCCATTCACTGATATCTAGAGTCTAAGGCGACCATTTTCATGTTCTGCCTAGCTGCAACAGCACTGCTCAAATCATTTCAGCGGGCATTTGTCACGCGTATCGATCGGCATCCGCAGTAGCGTCTTCAGAATTTGCAGTGTTGGCTTCGGGCTCAGCATATCCGTCTGCCTTTCGCTGGCCAACTATGTCGTCAGCTTGGCCGGCCCTAAACCCTAAACCCTAAACCGAAACCCTAAACCCTAAACCCTAAACCCTAAACCCTAAACCCTAAACCCTGAACCCTAAACCCTAAACCCTGAACCCCCAAACCACTTGGTGCTGGATCGGCTCATATCGGCTCGCAGCTTCGTGGGACGGCGCCCCCTTCTCCGTTGCATACACCCAGGCTGGAAAGTACACCGAAGCCCCGAAGCGTTTAGGGTTTGACGGTTTAGGGTTTAGGGTTTAGGGTTTAGCTTGGGCGTCCCTGACACTTAGACTCCCTTTCCAAAGGGAACGGCTCTGTGCAGCAACGCAGTCCTTTGAGTACTCTCTTCCGGAAGCAGCAGCAAACCGCAGCAACAGCAGTAGCAGCAGTAAGAGTGGTGTTAACCCGAACAGCGATGTTCATGACAGTGGCAAGCATTTGGGGGTTCCCGAAAATAGGGGACCCTACTATAGTACCCTAAATAGCAGGATCTCTATTATAAGGACCCCAAAATAAGGTACCCCTAATGATCGGAAACCCCCATTGTGGACATCAGCAGACCCAGCTGTCGGCAGGCTTCAGCATGGCTCTGTGGAGAGTGACCAGTGTTATCGGCCGCAGAGAGGCGAGCCGGAGTCGTTCGAAGATATGAGGTTTTGGGGTCTTGGGGTCTCGCGGTTTCGGGTCGAGTGAGACGTGGGTTTTCGGTAGTTCCAGTAGTTTCGCGGATGGGGTCTCAGGTTTGGATTGCAAGAGCCGAAGAAGGAGAGGCTACTTGGGGCAAGTGCTGTCAGATTTGGTAGGGCGTACAGCGGAGTCGTTTGCATTTCCGTGGGTGGGATCCCGGTCACAGATCGCAACAGAAAGCCCGGGCTGCTGGAGAATAGAATCGAAGCCAATGCCACGTGTTTGGTGTTAAGATCTTGATCACTCTGCTTCAACGATGCTGGTACGTATTCCTTTTCATCTGCACCTTTTCGCATCCCCCTGCAAGACACTATTTCCCGTAAGGAATGCAACAGATATCAGGGTTTGCATTCGCCGTGCATGAGCACGTTCCGTCTTTGGTCCCGGCATTGACCAACACGGGTCGCGAGGCCCAAAGTTCAGAAAGCCATGGAGCCCTTGACCTAAAGTCTTACTCAGTCCCTATATACTATAGACCCTAAGGCCTTACCTCGAGATCGGAAATCTCAAAACATCCAAAAACCAAGAGCGTGGAAGCTCTAGAACCCTCAAGCCCTAGGGCCCTAAACTAAGCCCAGAAGATGTGCAGCCTACACACACTCGCTAGACCCGACAACTTGACATCCTGGTGGCCTAAGCCCCAAGCACCTACATGGAGCTAAATCCTACAATCCGACGGGCTACGGTTGATGATATCAATCCTGCGTTACCCATAGTACGGAATGTACCATAATTGCCATAGTTTAGGGCCCTCAAGGTACTGCAGGATTTATATTATCATCAGTACAACCCTAAACCTGAACCCTTAAAACGCCTCATCCCCAAACATCCCCAAGTAGGCCCTGAGAGGCATGCCCACGCTTCGCCCGTGCCTTCTCGGCGGGGTTGAAGCGGACGCTGACATACGAGGAGGGGTGCTGAATTGGGACTTCGGCTTTATGCAACTCCACGGAGCACGTGTAATAGTTGCTTGCCCACCGGTCTATATTTATGTATCATAAACGAAGGCCGTTCAACCAGTGGTTTTCAGAAGTAGAAGTTCCCGATCGGAAGCTGCGAGGAGCACATTAAGGAAGGCGGGAAGATGGTCGACTTCGCAGGCCGAAGAAAAGGTTGGAGTGTCACTTCGGGGTTTCTGATAATGAGGGGTACCTTATTTTGGGGTCCTTATAATAGGGATCCTACTATTTAGGGGACTATATTAGGGTCCTCTATTTTCGGAAACCCCCATTTGACGTGAGAGTTTAGGGAGGGGTGTAGGACTATGGTGCAGGATAGAGGGCTTTAAAGGAGAAGAGATGACGGTTTAGGTGTATACTGGCTTGGGGGAGTTGGAAGTGCAGAGTGGCGGCGTGTCTGGATGGCAGAGGGGTTAAGGTAAGCTTGTACATTTAGGGCCGGCGTCGTTGGGTTGGGGGTTTCAAGGTGGAGGGTGTAGGTTGTGTTTACAGAAGAAGGGCCACGACAGATCGCTCCAAGACCGGTACCAGTAGTTAATACATAGATTCGTATATAGTATATTATGGTGTACTACATGTAATACTATGATAGTAGATAGATAGATAGATAGATAGATAGATAGATAGATATATAATGTCAATACCTTGTTTAGGCCCAGCGTTTAGGGTGTTAGGCTGTGCCTGTGAGTTAGTTGTTTCCGCATTGGCACTTGGATCACGTGATGCCTTGGTTCGTGAGGGGAAGGGCAAGTGGCTGTTGCGACCTTCGGTTGGTCTGAGTCTCACAGCGCCTCAAACTGAGTCAGAAGCCAAGCTTACCCTCAACCCCAACCCCTGCATGCCTCAGAGATCCACTGGGGACCATCCTTGCATCGATTTTTCGTTGCTGCTTCTCTTCCTTGAAGTTTCCCCCACAAGCCACTTTCGGGCCGCAGTAGTTGTACAAGTAAAAGATATGATATCACAGGTTTCTGTACGAGCAAAGCTGAACGATGCAACCGTTGCCAGCACTCGGATCCATCCCGGGTCAGTCTGCAAAAACCCAGACAGCGACCCCGAACAAATCTGTCGAACAATACTATGTCCAGGCTGCAGCTCTGCATGTCGAACAGGTTCTGCTCTTGAGGCAGTCCGTTGGCGATCGCTGTGAGTTGCAAGAGCGCTTCGTGCGCGCAGGCTATGCCATGCCGGTTCAGTACGAAGCCAAGGGCAGCAAGCATGCCTTGAGCATCATTGACTCGACCAAGTGGACAAGACTCTCGGCTGCAGCCGCACTTATTCTGGAACAGGCAGGATGTCCTGTGCTGAGGTGTCCTTCACACAACCTAATGACCTAATGTGGATAACAGGGGAATCCTATGCTTTGCTGTCCGGATGATGCCGTACACTGACAGAGCCAGGTCAGGTTACGCAGCTTAGTTTATTGTGATGGCATCAGAACCCACAACATCCAAGCCCCAAAGCAAATGCCCCAAGACCTCTGGAGAAACTCCGCCCTTTGCCCCAAAGGAGAGAGCGCTTCTCTCTTCGATGTCAGCCACATGTGCAGCATCAGGTGGCTTGTCTTCTGAAACTTGGGTTCCTCTTGCCTAGTTTAAGTTTGCTACTCGTACAGTCTTAGTATGCTGCAGCACCATCGTATCAAGAGGAGGCTGCTCCGGAATCCAACATGTACCTGATGTACATGCCAAATTCACTCCGAAGGTATTTTCGACCGGATGCTGTTCTTGGAGTTTCAGTATGGGGTTTCCGGTGTACTTCAGGGTGTTGGGTGTAGGGCCTGGAGCTGTGGGTTTGGAGTTGGAGGCACCGAGTTTTGGAAGTTCAGTGCTCGCCGCCCTGCATGTTCCGGATGGGAAACCCGTTAGGGCCACCCACACTCCTAGCCGTAGAACATGAATCTCGAAAATATTGACATGAATGGCGCCCGACACTGCGAACCACATTTAACACCTGCAAGCCGAAACCCCAGTTGAGTACTATAGATGCCTGCATCGTTCGTAAGACTGTTTGTTTGGCTTTTGGTTTCGTGCAGTTGTAGTCGAACAATTATATAAGCTAGTACTATGCTATAATCATATAGTTATAAGTTATAACCGTGTAGCCTCATATTATTAATGTACCCCGAAACCCTGTTCCCATGGCCCCCCGCTTCCAAGCACGAGGTCCCTAGCCACCACACCCGAAACCAAGCCGCAAGACCCTGAACCCTAAACCCTAAACCCTAAACCCTAAACCCTAACCTGAACCTTAAAAGCTGAAGTCTGACCTCAAAACCCCGAGCCAAACCCCAAAGACAAAGACCCTCAAAAGCCAAAGCCAGAGGACCTCGCCTTCATCGGTTCTTTGGGCTTAGGGTTTTAGGGTGAGGGCCTTCAGCCTCAAGCCCTTGCAAGGACCGTTTCAGTCCTGTAATATAGGGCTCCCCTAATTATAGTAGGGTTTTGGGGTCTATCATTTTATAGTTATCATAAGGAACCTCCAACATAGTATTGGTAATTATTTAGGCCCCGATATTACCAGGATTTCGAAGCCTGAAGTCTGCAACACACAATCTGCGGACCCTGGACACCTCGAAGCTTTACACTTAAAGCTTAAAGGAACCCGATTTGTGTCAGTGAAAGCCCTGGACTCCCTCAACCCTAGACCCTTAAAGGAACCCGGTAAGAGCCCTGGACTCCCTAAACCCTAGGGTTTAGGGTTTAGGGTTTAGGGTTTAGGGTAAACCCCCCTTTCAGGTGGACCGGCAAGGACGCCTTTGACTTCGTTGAGCGCGTGACCACCGCTGACGTTTACGGACCCGCTCGCTATCCCTCCGAGGGAGGTGTCAGGTCCAAGGGGTTTAGGGTTTAGGGTTTAGGGTTCAGGGTTTAGGGTTTAGGGTTTAGGGTTCAGGGTTTAGGGTTCAGGGTTTAGGGTTTAGGGTTTAGGGTTCAGGGTTTAGGGTTCAAGTTGCAGGCTTATTAGACTCAAAGTCCTAGTTATAGCGTTGTACGGTTGAGGTTTGCGAGCGGATGTGCTTCTATGCTTTGGCTGTGCACCACCAGTACTAATACTGAGCTCAAGAAGATGCAAAGGACTGCCACCCATGACGGGGGGTCTGAGCGTTATCACCAACGAGCGGGGCGGCGTGATCGATGATACCTTGGCCGCAACCTCACGGAATTCCATATTGTAGCTTCTCACGAGCTGTAAAAAACATGAAGCATCAAGAGTTGAGGTGGAACGGTGCGCATGATTTGGTATTAACCTGCACCCCGAGTCCCCAAATCCGAGTTCATTCTTGAAAGTTCTGTGCTCTCTGCACCTGGGCAAGGCTATGGAATATCCCTGCAATGCGTAGTCATGCTGCTTTTCGAGATGGGAATGTTTGTGCCCGACCCCATCTGATACATTGCCCGAGACGCAGAAATCCGTGTGAGTGGTTGCCACGAAGGTGACAAAGTGCCACTCGAAGGAGCATGGTGAGCACGTCTATCAGGCCTGTCCCAGTCCCTAAGCCCTTAACCCTAAACCACCTACTCCCAAGCCTAAACCCTAAACCCATGTTTGATCAGGCCACCTAGGAACGAAGCTTGGACAGTTCGGCGGCATCAGGAGCAGCTCTTCTTTTCTGGAGCAGGGACTTAACATCAAGCCTGAACCTTCAACCCTTCCAAGTGTGACACCGACCCCGAAATCCTCAAGTCCAACAAGACACAGGACACCCTAGAGCCAAAAAGGCCTAAGCCCTAAAACCCAAAGCCCGAAAACCCCAAGCGCAGGTCGTGAACGCCGGTTGCGCTACCAAAGACCTGAAGCACTTCGAGGAGCAGTTGGGGAAATTTGGTGGCGATGTGAAGATGGAGGTTGGGATCTCAGGTTTCTGGTTAAGCGGTTTAGGATTTAGAGCTTCAGGGTTTTCGTGCTTTGGATTTCAGGGTTTAGGGGTTGTTTTTAAGGGATTCCTGCCGTTGTGACAATAATCGCAGCTATAGGTGTCATCAAAAACATCACCACGGCACGGCTTTCTGGGTTCATCCGACTAGTATGGGCGATGGAACCATGTAATCACATTCTTCCTTCGGGTTCCTTACAATAATCAACCCCATTCTAATGATGAGGCCTTTTTAGGCGTTTAGGGTTTGGGGAAAACCAGCCTTCAACTGCAGCTCATTAACAGTCTCCCGGCCGGTATATTAATGAAATAGAGCCACTAGCAGCTAGCAGCTAGCAGCTAGCAGTCTGCACTGTTTAGCGAGGGATGCGCTTAATGGGGGATTTTAGATTAAGGCCCTAAGCCCTAAACCCTAAACCCTAAAATGGGGGACCTTAGATTAAGGCTTGGATAATGTCGGGTCTGCAGGAGGGTCCCTTGAGCGTCTGAAAGGACCTTCAGCCCTGAGACCCCGCTTAAAAAAGCCCCAAGTCCCTACGACTTTAAGGTTTAAATTTAGGGTTTATAGGGTTTGAGGTTTAAGGTTTATAGGGTTTAGGGTTTATAGGGTTTAGGGTTTATACGGTTTAGAGGGTTTAAGGTTTAGGGTTTACAGGGTTTAGAGGATTCAGGGTTTAGCGTTTGCAGGGTTTATAGGGTTTAAGGTTTAGGGTTTATAGGGTTTATAGGGTTTATAGGGTTTAGAGGATTTAGGGTTTAGGGCTGTGGCCTCACACCCTAGAACATCGAGGCGTGCCCGTTGAAGAAAGTACGCGCCAGACATGTGGAACATTGCCGCACACGGTACGGATGCATCAGTCACTAGGTCTGAATATACAGCTCTTGCTTGATGATATACAAGTATACGTATGTGTACTTTTATACCCGCCCCGCTATATAGGTATGTATATATATATATACATACACGTGCCTCATTGCCTTCCGAAGGTGATGTGGGACAACCGTGGCCTTTTCGCCATCCAGGGGCCGAAGGCGATGGAGGCTCCCTCTAAAACGTTGAATGATCGAGGTTTTGCCAGCTGCCCCAAGCGGCGCCCCTACATCTTACCCCACCTACATGGATTCCGAGGAACGGATTCGATGCAGTTGGCGCGATAGCAGCCTTATACAGACAGCCTGACATTGCTTCGGCACGACTTTGATTTGCTAAGCCGGGCGTGGGCCCAGCATAAAGTGGGACTGCAATCTAATACTGGTAATGGATGCCATCATGATGGAATAGCGACAATAGTAGCAATGTCAGCAACAGCTGCAGCACCTGTCATCACACTTGTCTTCTTGAGCTGTCATCACCACCAGCGCCACCATCACCGGTACTGTCACCATCATCATCATCATCATCGTCATCATCGTCATCATCATCATCACCACCATCATCACCATTATCACCACCATCACCATCATCACCATCGCCGTCACCGTCACCATCACCATCACCATCACCATCACCATCACCATCACCATCACCATCACCATCACCATCACCATCACCATCGTCATCATCGTCGTCATCATCATCATCATCACATGACCATCTCCAAATGGCGCAGCGATGGTATCAGTGAGGGCGTTGCAAGTCAAGGCAACAGAATGTACGACAAGGGTAACACCAACAAGCAAAGTACCAGCTCAAACATCGAGTGTTTTAGCATCGGTACCGTGACCACGCCAGCGACCATTGCTGGCTGAATCGCAAATCATAGATACAATCTATTGCCGCTGCTGCTGCGCATGCTCAGCCTGCAGCTGTGATGGAAATATGCTGCTCAGAAGCTAGGCGGCGGAGCACACTAGCGACACCGCTGGCGGTAGTGATGTTTACGATGATGGTGAAGACGATTTACGACCTATGCTGTTGGCTCCTTCATCCATCTTACCAGTTGCATCATCTCCGGATGTTAATGTCAAGCTGCATGTGCTTGTTGACCTCCCGCACTTTACGAAGCCGAGCTGCCGCAGGTGAGGCAGATCACCTGCTCTGCACTCAAAGACCAATCCACCCTAATACTCTCAACTTTCGGGCCCGAACTGATAGGCTGGTGAGCCTTGAGCCTGCCTTGCCCAAGCTCTCTTAACACGCACCACAGGTGATGCAGCGCCTGAGCCCATCCACGGATCTGAAGGCCGTGCCCTTCGGCGAGTGCTTTTGGGCCAAGCTCGAAGGCGCCGAAGTGGGATTCTGGATTACGGCTTTCGAGTCTCCCAGAGAGCCCAATACCCCCCTGTTTAAGGAATATACCTAAAATAATAGGGGCCTCAATATTCTGACTTAAGGTATATTCCTTAATTAAGGGGTATTGGGCTCTATGGGCTTCCTTCTGAATGGAGAAGATCGATGGGCCGAACTGCGAAGCCAAAGCCTGCCTTCACCACCCCAAACCTTCGAGGGCCACGGGTTTTAGGGCTCCTTGCCAGGTGCCGAGTGCCTCGTCTCGAGGCGGCCGACACCTGTGTTTCGGGGGGGGCTTGGGGTTTCATCACACGTAGCTCAAATTCTCGGACTCTAAGCACTGAGTTATCGAGACCCCGGAACCATCTTCTGAGAGAGCGCATGGTAGCAAATGCCTGCACAAGCTCTCAGACGAGTAGTTGGGTGCATCGGGACTCGGGCAGACAGCATAGCTTAGGAGAACATGTTGGGATCTTTGACCAGGACTTGGGATATCCGGGGTCGAGGGCCTACGGCTGGTCTTCCGGTTCGTGTCCTTGGTGGGTCAGGTACAAGCCGCAGATGCCCAGCCACAATCTGCAAACCTGCACGTTGAAAGGCACGGCATGCCTTGAAAGGCCCTGATACACCCAAACCCGACGCTGCAAACCGAAAACCCTAAATCTCACTCAGGCATCACCTCTGAGGTAAGACTTCAGCCGAAGAAGCCGAAACCGCGATAGCTTTGTTAGGTGTGGGTACACTGGCGAGGATGGCTTTGAGGCAGGGGAAATCCAGCGCGCCTTACGTAGACTTTGCTGTAGGTGGTCGTGATTGCTGCACTGTCGTACTGTGCGGGGATCCAAACCAACAAGCGGTTGAGCACTGGATACTTGAAACCAGGTTGGCACGTATGAGCCAGCGCCAACGAAAAGATTCGCCAATCATCTTATCACAAAGAAGGTTCTGCGACACGACTGACTTACTCGTTGCCGTGCCTCGCCAGTACTGCCTACCCAACACCCAAGATTCATAACAACAAGCTCCCAAACCTGCGCCACAGACACCTCGCCCCAGAAAGCCGCTCCAAGCTGCGCATCGGTGACCTGAAGCCGTAGCACCCCAGACTACACCGCCAATCCCCTAAACCCTAAACCCCAAACCGTAAGCCCTAAACCGCAATATCAAAACTTGAAGAGCTCCCTTGAGCCCAGACGTCAAGATCCTTGTCCGCATACCCTAAAGAACCTTGTCAACTTTAACTCCGTGATCGGTACCCTTAATTTGGGTAGCCCCACTAATTAGACTAGGGCTTGGGGGTATATGATACTATGATTTTAAATGAGGAGCCCCCAAAACCCTATTCNNAATTTTTAAGGCCCCTACATTACCCGTCAGACCCGAACCCTGAGCTCGGAGCGCTTGAAGTCCTAAAGCCTGAGCGGGAGAAGAGACCGGGTGGGCTTTCCCTGAGATACCAGTAATCTAGGGGCCTTAAAGAATTACCTATGTTATTTTGAGTTTGGGGCTTCCTTATTGTACCATAAAGGACCCTAAAGCCCCATTCTCGTTATTAAGGCTCCTATATTGCACACTAGTGACCGCCTAAAGGACCTAAAGGAAGCCTGAAAGTCAACCTACTTCTTGAGTGGCAGATCTTCGTTCCGGGCGCTGCGGCCGTCGCAGTGGAAGGGCCCAGCATTTTCTGCTGGAGTTAGGGTTTAGGGTTTAGGGGTTTTCTGCACAAAGACGATGTGAGATTCGGCAGCAGATCAAAGAGGGTTTTGGGGTTTGGGGTTTGGTGACGTGGGACCCAACCATATTTCCAACCACACTAAGCTCTAGACCGACGTCATCACAGTTGTCCCAGATGCACCTGAAAACCCTCCTGAAGGACCTTCAAATACAGGGTTTAGGGTTTCGGGTTTACGGCTTAAGGCAGACAGCATGGCAGAACTGCACAGTCTCCGGAAGTCGTCACGCTGGAGAAGCGAAGAAGTTGTGCACCTAGGACCTAGGACCAAGAGGCTGCAGGAGAAAGGCGTCACGGCACCGTCTACTATAGGGGCCTGAATGATTAGAATAGGGTCTGGGAGAAGGAGCCCCCAAAAATCTATTCTATTTATTAAGGCCACTACATCTATTATTTTGGGGGTTCCTTCTTATAAGTATAGTATAATGGGGCCCGAACCCCCATTCCAATTATGTCAGGCCCTTATGCGAAGTTTGGGCCCGGCACGTTCGACTGCCTCTGAGGTCTGGCAGCTCCTGTCCTCGCAGTCAGAGGTCCGGCTTGCAGCGTAGCTCCTGGCACGCTTGGTTTAGGGTTTAGGGTTTAGGGTTTAGGGCAAAGGGCCCCTGGCCAAGCAGAGGCGGAGATATGTTCATCTTTGTAGCAGAATCTCTTTCGCTTGCACAGGTTGTCGTCGAATCTGGGGCTTGCAAGGAGTTTGGCTCAGCTGTCAGCAGCCAGCCCGTTCTATAGGTATCACCAGGGCCAAGCACCAGTATTCCCGAAGCCAGAAAGTCATCGGATGACCTTCTGGCTTCGGGAATCGTGCACTTGGGCGATGCCGAGCTGAAGCAAGATGGCGTAGGAAGTCAGCGCTGCAAGTCGAGTCTGCACTGGCAGTCGACAAGGGCTTCCCAAAACTCTAAACCCTAAACCCTAAACCCTAAACCCAAAATGCCAGGCTGGGAGCACGAGATGCCCTCCGCCTGGAGGCAGGCCTTTGCCTATACGGCTCGGCGCCCAAAGTTCCTGGGATCCTGGCTTTACTTGGAGGGTCGGGGGACTTAGTAAGTAGTAATGTAGACTTATAGGTACCCTAAAGGGACCCTAATTGGGGTTATAGTACTTATAAGTCTATAAAATACTTTACTGGGAGGGTCGGGGGACTTAGTAAATGGTTATTTTATAGACTTATAAGTACTATAATGGAGGGTCGGGGGACTTAGTAAATGCTTATTTTATAGACTTATAGGAATATAACCCCCAATTAGGGTCCCTTTTAGGGTACATATAAGTCTACACTACTACTTACCACGTCTCCCGACCCTCCAAGTAGGAGATCCCCCGGTTCGCAGCAAAAGCTTTAGGGTTGCTTAGGGTCTAATATCGGGTTTAGGGTTTAGGGCTTTAGGGTTGTTTAGGGTTTAATATAGGCGCCTTAATGATTAGAATAGGTTTTGGGGTACTGTATCTTAGACTATAAACATAATAAAGAACCCCAGCACCCTATTCTAACTATAAAGGCCCCTACACTAGGTATTAGGAGGCTTCTCACTGCGTTGGCGCAGTTTAAGTAGAAGCCGGAGTCTCTTCAGCTGCCTACATGATCTCCGTCGATTCTGAGTTTGAGGCTTCTTCTTGGTTTGGACACTGCTCTTCCTCCAAGACCCTGACAACGCCAGTATCTACAGTAGTAGGAAAGGCTTGCCATTTCGAAGGAAATACGAACATCTTTTGTGCCGGCAACGTTCCTAGTACTCGCATCAGTCACGGCCGGAAGGTTTGGACTACATTGATCTCATTGAAACAAAAACCTTCAACATCAGCATCGTCATCTTCTGTTTCCGAATTCTGGTGATCATTATCACCGTCGTTACCATCATCACCGCATCAGCACCGTCATCGTCCTTGCCATGGTCATCGGAGTTATCGTTGCCAACAGACTCAGCTTCGTGTATGTGCACCCAGGTCACGAGCTAGATGAGGACAGCGGCCCAGAGCAAGGCAGGATGCTTGACTTCATCGCAGTGCCAGGGGACCTGCACAGGACACTACCCCGTCCGAGGCTGGCCTCAGCGCGTGCCCAAGACAGGTATTTTAAAACTGTACCAGTCTTTGCGCTTTAGGCGTACAGGTTCGCGCTACGAACGAAAATGATTAAGAGTCGCAGCAACGTTCTAGGCCAATTGTGGCATGATCAACCGAAGCGGTTCCAGCAACTAAAACGAGATTCACGAGCATGGTTTTGAGATCCTACCCTGCATACCTGCCAACCTACACAAAAACAGGATCAAACCGAGCAACAAGCAGCAACACGATAAACAACCAAGCAAACAACCAATCGACCGAACAACCTATTTAATGACTGGCTGACTGACTGACTGGACCAATCATCTGACTAACTAGCTCACCAAATAACTAATTAACTAACTAGCTAACTAAAGCTAGCTAGATAGCTGGCTAGCTAGCTGCCTAACTAGCTAAGAATCTAACAAACTACCAAACGCACACGCAAACACAAGCAAGCGCGCAAGCAAATACTCAAACAAGCAAACAAAGAGGCATATACACACACGCACAAACGAACCAACAACTAATGCAGCTGCTGCTGCTGCTGCTACTCCTACTACTACTACTACACTACTACTACTACTACTACTACTACTACTACTCCCACCACCACCTCTGCCACTGCCACCGCCACTGCCACTACCGCTACTACTGCTGCTGCTGCTACTACTACTACTACTACTACTGATACTACTACTACTACTACTCCTACTACTACTACTACTACTACTACTACTACTACTCCCACCTCTGCCACTGCCACCGCCACTGCCACTACCGCTACTGCTGCTGCTGCTGCTACTACTACTACTACTACTACTACTACTGATACTGCTGCTGCTGCTGCTACTACTACTACTACTACTCCTCCTGCTCCTGCTCCTGCTCCTGCTACAGCTACAGCTACAGCTACAGCTACAGCTACAGCTACAGCTAGAGCTACAGCTACAGCTACAGCTACAGCTACAGCTACAGCTACAGCTACAGCTGCAGCTACAGCTACAGCTACAGCTACAGCTACAGCTACAGCTACAGCTACAGCTACAGCTACAGCTACAGCTACAGCTACTACTACTACTACTACTACTACTACTACTGCTACTACTATCACTACTACTACTACT